AATAAATTTTCTCTGACTCAAAGCACTGGAAGACAGATGAGAAACCTTTCACTGCTTTGTAAATTATGAAAAGCACACGGGACCAAAAAGAATATTCAGCTTAGGAAAGCAACAGAAATAGGAGGTACTTAATAATTCTGATCAGAATTCTCAATAATGTGCATGAAATGCTCGAAAGATGTTAATACAAGAACCTGTTACTCGCTCTCACAGAGGAGATCTTCCAGTCCCTGAATTTCCAGCAGCAGGCACAGGAGGGGTGTGGATGGTGCCATTAATCAATCAGTTCTACTCACTTATTCACAATATGACAATCAAAACTAATGATGGAAGGGAGCTGGAAAGGGCAGGTGAGTGCTTGAGTAACTTGTCAAGATTTAAAGAAAGCAAATTAAAGCAGCAGTGAAATGCGAACTGCAGCCAATCTTAATTACAAACTAAAGCCAGAGTAAAGTGAAGTTTCTCTCTCCTTCTACTACATGTTGCCTTTAGCTGAAGACAAATTGCTGGCACTTTTGTAATCTACTAAGTTAAAGTCATTACCCTGACAGTGCCAGGAAGTCTAATTTCCTGGAGCAGTAATACAAAGATTTATAAGGGAATTTAAACACTCGCCTTCTGGAATAGAAAATCTATCATCAGCATGAGGCTACATGGAAAGTGACTGAGAATTTCAGATAATGGAGAAGAAAAAATTCACCTGCTGACAAGTTCATCCAAAATCTCATTCCCTGCCTACATAGGCTGCTGACCAGGGTAAGCCTACACACAAAGCTGAGCTTTCAGATAAATTCAGCTTGTCTTTGACGTCCCCACTGCAACAAAACAATTGCTTCTTCAATTACAAGCATTTTTAACACTAGTTCAGTATATCAGCACAACTCCCTCCTAAACTTATGTTCCCATTAAAATGGAATTAAACTTAAGTAATCAAAAAGGATAAGAGAAATTAATAAGCAGCTTAATAACTGCTTTTAAGGAGAAAATGAGCTAGTTCATCCACCAGGCTGAAATCTACCTGCATGTCTTGTTATGGCTGAAGATTTTCAACTCCCTAATGAGATAAACTGAAATGAGAGCTGAACTTCAACACCCAAAGCTCCAAAGAGCAGCTACTGTTCTGCCCTCAGACCTATGTGCACATAAACAACAAGCCATGAGATTTGCTTAAACCAGACAGCACAGAGGTCTGGATTTAATTAGGAATAACCTAATGCTGATTCCACATAAAAAACCTGCTCTGCTCTTCTGGACTTTCTCCTCCCATACTCCAGAACTGAGGAACAGAGGTGGACAGTCCAACACCTTCACGCAGGAGGATTAAATGTTAAAACCCCTCTAATGTATTTGGGGGGCTGACACACAACAAGCCTTAGTTCAGAAAACCTTATTGTAGAGGTAGTGTCCTCTGAGACACTGCCTTCCCCTGCACAGAAATGATTAATCCTCATCTTCCCCCAGTGCCTGAGCCTCCTGCCACTACTCCTGCTCAGAAGTGAAGGACTCTGTGAACAAAGCACAGGAGTTGTACTATGCTACGCATTTAATGTGTACACAGGAGAAATCAGCGCTGTGGTAGTGCAGAGGAGGCAGCCAGCACCACTATCACTGACCTACTTTAGACTGGGGAAGGGATTTCAGTAAGACTTCCCCCCCCTCACAGAAGCAGCAATTTTTGAAAGTCCTAAATTTAGCAAGGTTCTGAGGACAGCATTCATAATTTCTTGTCAGCTCCCTTCTCTATGCAAGCTCATATCACTTTCCCCAAAATTTATGCTCTCTTTGACTCAGGAAAAAAAAATATGCTCCTTTCAACAAAGAGGAAAGAAGAAGCTTCTCTTTCACAATCTTTCCTCACGAGGACAGGAGTACTCTGGACACTGCCAGGGCATATACATTAATTTTTTAGTATCAGATGAAACAATTTCTGAAAGCACTGCAAGTTGTCCAGTCTGACATTATCCAGTTTACCACAGATAACAACCCTGAACCAGAAGCTTTCCCCTGCCAGAATGCCTAGCACATAAAATCATTAAAGGCTTAGAAATGGTTTCAGGGCTGCTCAAATCATGTGCTGCAGCAGAACCTGAGTCCCATTAAAAAACCAGGAACCATCAGGAAGAGACTCTAGTTCATCACCCTGAAAAAGAGAACGGCCTTCCTTCATTCATTCCTCACCAGAACAAACAAATTTCAGGGGCTGAGAAAGTGAAATGCCAGCATTTAAACTAGGTTACAACTCCTTTGCATTGCTCAGGATATGAAGATGCTCCTAAGATGTACCAGCAGGACAGATGTTCTGAAGGCCTGAGAAACCTCTGCACCCTGCACAGACACTAGCCAGTCCCCACCCACAACTGACAGAAGTTTCTGATTTAATGATGTTTGGCTTCAGGACAGGCAGAGATTCCTGCCATTAAAGTAATCTGGAGTCAAAATGAAGTTTCCAGAACTGATAGAAAATAGGTCTGGGCTAGTCTGCTGCTACCAGTCCATGGTTTTTCAAGTGATCATAAGCATACTCTCGATTAAGCTCAGTGGTCATAACTACGGGTATCCTGAAGGGAAGCCACAATGTCAAGTTCTTGAAACCACATCTTTAGACACACCAGATAAGCTCCACAGATGTTGACTATAAGATTACAGGAAACTTAACAACACTACATCCCAATATTTGTTAACTACCACAATGTTCATTTGCTGCACTGAATGAACAAATCTTATTACTGCAGTGTCATTTGCTCACAAAGATTCCAGCTGAAAACTCACTTTAATATGGCTTTAATAATACATGAAAGAGATTAATCTATAATTGTTGATTTTTGAAATAGCACTTCATCATGTCACTCAATCTAAGTGCTTTTGATCATTAAAACTTGCATGATTTTTCCATCTCGGTAACGAGGTTCTGCCTCAGCTGAGAGCTGATCTCATCAGAGTCAATTATACTCTATAGAAGAGATCTGACCAGAGTTCTTAAGGGTTTTAAAACTGCAATTTTATTTTCTTTATTTCAGTGAACAATTTAAGGTTCAAGCAACCTTGTTAGAACTTTTACTATCCAGGATTTCTCAAGTAAATGAGATGCTTGGCAGGAAACTACCGGCAAAAAAGTGAACAGAAATGCATCAATGTCTTGGTTTTTTTACTCTTGGCACACAAGTCAATAGTTACTTTTAAAATATGCTCTTTTCCATGTCAAAGTGCTTCTTTCATAATGCTGTGGGATTAATCTCCTGACCTTATCTACCATGAGATATGTAATCTATTTGACTTCGATTAAATGGGGTATCTCAAAATTATCAAACAACCTCTTAACGAGCGTGAGATTTCTAGCAATTGAATATGATAACAAGCTGTGTAAGCTCAGAGACAGATCCATCTCCCATCAGATCTGCACATCACTTCTACCATTAACAGAGCCACATGAAAGCTTTTAATCTTATTTTAAAAAGAAAGCTATGCAAGGTATATTTCCTTGCAGAAATTCTTGATTTCCATCTTTTCCCTCTAGTGGCACCTACATTCCAATTGCATTTAGAAAGGAATGCAAATGCTGAAGCCTTTGCTATATTTTGCATTCCTTTCTTTTCCTGCATCCTAAAGGTGTTTCCTTGCTCTGCACTGTAATCAGCTCCCAGCCTGAACTGATGGCAGCCAGTGAAGGCTGGTTAGAAGTTTCCTGCAGCTCTCTAAATAGGATGGAACTGCAGCTTCTGAGAGGTTCCTTAGTACCTTGCATTATTTCACAAGATACAAAAGATCTTGTGCAATAATGCACCAAATGAAAATCAGTGTTTAGACATGAGACTAGAAACTGCATCCGCTATAAAGGGTGTCTGTAAATAGATCAGATTCATTTCCATCTTAGGATTAGTTTGCATATCACCAATCAGAGTTTCACTGTGAATTGGAGTGCAGCACTATGTATGTATAATTATTACACCATAACTCACTACCAGCACATCTCTAAGGATCTCAGGCATGGCCTCTGTTGTTGCTCTCAGTTAACAGTAAGAAAATTGAAGCACAAATAAGTGGAGTGGACCAAGGTCACCAAAAGAGCGCAATTCAGGTATCCCAAGTCCATGGATCTCTCCCAAGTCAGATTGTCTCTTTACACTCTCCAAAATTCTCTATGTGATGTGGGAAGAGTTCAAAATTTTTCTTCTGAGGAACATTCAGGTAGTTCTGGGTATTCACAGCTCGTTAAGGTGAGGCTGACAGGGTGGCACGGCAGCAGTTGCCATGACAATGGCTGGATCTTTGCAGAGACATTGCACACACTTCAAATCAAAAACCGTGCAAGTCTCAAAACGCCATCCAATGCTCTAAGAATTCTGACAAAATCCCAAATCACCTCTTAATCTTCAATTTAAAAAAGTACCATGCATGCAAGAAGGGAATGCAGATTGTGAAAGACTCCACCTCTGCCAGAGCTGGAATACAAAAGCACAATGCAGAAGAATTTTTCTGTGAACCTCTCAGATTTTAGAAAGTACTGTTCACTACAGACAGGGAGGAATACTGTGCTCAGGAGAAGACTGACTATCAGCAAAGGCAAAAATCCCCAATCCCTGCTGTCACCCAATTCCAAAGAACGCTGAAGAATGACAGAGATGACAGGGAAGAGAAAGGGTTAGTGCCAAGCACTCTCACCGAGCGCATTTCAGAACTCCTTACAGTCAGGTGTGGTGCAGATGGGCTGCAAATGGAGCTGTAGAGGAGGAGAGCCTCCACTCACCCTTCTCTGGAGTTACAATCACCAAACACCAAATCAGACAGGCTTCTACGAGCTTCCACCAATTCAGTAGTCTTAGATAAAAATTTATATCCAGTATTCAACACTAGATAACACCATGCACAGATATATCCATTATCCCAATTAACTGGCTACTCAAGAAAGAGATCAGCCTGATAGGCTCGTATCTCTAGTCCCTTTAAGAGCCTACAGCTCCCAAGCTACTTGTTATTTCCAAAAGCACAAACATTAGCATTACCTTTTGCTGCTTCAGACCGCTTAGGCAAATCAAGTGTATCAAAATTCCTGTCCAAATCCCCATTCTTCTTTCCTGTGCAAAAAAGAAGACAACAGATGGAGAAGACTGTCAGTATACTGACAGGTAAGTTACTGTCATGTGCATCTACAAGATAGGAGAAGATACAGACCCAGAATACAAATCACAGAGTGCTATCCATAATTGTGTGTATCTGACTCGCAGTCCAGCTGCACAGCTGTGGTTTTAGCATGAGCAAACCTAGGCACAAACACCTCTGCTGCTTTCAGGTTGATCTGCAAACACGCTTAGCACTAGTGTTTCAGAGAGTCTTAGAAGTGCTTTAAAACCTTCCAAAATTGGGCCACTTCCCTTCTTGCCTTGTTGTTTACACAGAGGAATTTTGACCTGAAGCTTAGCTCAAGCAAAAACTCAGCAGCAGAGCAAAAAAACAACAGCTTTGCTTTGCAGCCTCTATTCTCAAGGCAACAACCAGGCAGGAAGACCTAGATTTAATATATTGTACAGACAACAGCCAACAACTTAACCTTGAACTGCCTTTCAATTGACAAAGTGTCATTTTAGCTATTTATTAGAAGCTAATGGAAATAATGCCATACTTTTGCTAAGAAACAGTATCAAACTATTACATCAGCTGTAATTTATACAACCTTTACATACAACAGAACAAAACCAGCACTTTTAGTTAGGTTGAGAATTCAAGGTTATGTAAATACATGGGGAGGGAAGGGTTAGATTCCATGCCCCCAAGGAGATGTACTGCCTTGGGTAAGCCCACATGGATGCTGTGGGATAAGCAGGATCTTGCCATCAGAGGAATACTGGCAGCAGAGAGATTTGGAAGGCAGTGCAAGAGTCTGCATGGTTTTTGAGGACAGCAGTGTACAAATTAGCTTTCCCAAATTATTTTGAGGGGGGGGAAAAAAAAAATCAAGTTATTCAGTCCCTCTCCCTCCAGAGCAGGGAAGGCAGGTGCAATGGGATGAATTCAGACAATGCAATTTAAGCTGCCAGAAGTGGCTTCTGCACAGGGACTACCAGGCTGTTAATGGAGGCTTTACAGAAAGGGCTGGAAGCTCCACCAGTCAGGCTGCTTAAAAGCAAACAGGAAAATGGTTCTTGAAAATGCAATGGGGAGATTAGTCTGAGTCTTGACTGCAACAGCCAGGAGATGGGAAAGGCCAGTCCCTGCCTTGTTACAGCAGGGGGTTGGTACATGCACAGTAAATTCAAGGGGTCACTCTACCTTTCCTCTTGACAACAGGGTAAAAATACTCACTACTGTACAGAGAAGAATTAGAGCTTTTAAATACCATTATGAATATTTAGGAATAACATTAAGAGGGAAACCCACCCCTTCAAGGTAGTATTCCATCCTCTCCCTTTCTTTGGGAGGGGATGGGATCACACCCTTTTCTTCTGAAATGCCAACACAGAACACCAGACAACTTCAACTGCTGAAAACAAAACATGCACCTAGAAGTTCTGCTGATCTGAAGTAATTTCCTTAACTGAAATATATAAAAGCCCATCTAAGCTGCCAAAAGGTCATGCAGCCAGGTACTACAGCAATCCTTGAAAGGTATCTTTGCTAAAGCAAGGGACAGGAATCAGTAGCACTCCACAGTCTTCCATCAATTTTTTGCTCTGTCAAAGGAGCAACACATTGCTTGGAGAATCAAATACCAGAAAGAAGAAGTGCTGTACATCACCAAAAGACTTTGCACTTCATAATGGCAGCTGAACCCAGTTACTGGCTGCAAACCCTTGCTGACCCTTAGGGCACTGACAAGGAAAAGCAGGGCAGAGGGAATTAAAAGGAAAAAAGCTTTCAAGGAAGGAAGTCAGTGTAGGAAAGATTACAGACTTAAAGCAGACCCATAAATGTGACTCCATCTTATCTAAAAGTAGGACAAACTGTTTTTTCACATGGAATTTTTCACAAATTCCATGTCTCTGCCATTAGATAGTTTAAACCTCAGAACATGTTCTCAGAGAGCCAGACCTTACTTGACACATCTACTCATTTCAAAAGTTCTCTCTATAATTTAAAGGTTGGTTTGGCACTTCTATCAGCCCTGCAGAACTGAGATGGCACAGTAAGAGCTCCCTTCTTCCCAATGGCAGTGTTTAGTAAGCACTGTGGCTGTGCACAACTTGATCAGGAGGAATTGTCCAGGAGTGCAGTGTTGGCTGCTGCTCTTGAGCTGGGAATGCCAAAGCAGCTGTCCATTTACAGACCTATCTTTCATAAAGACAGCACCCTCCACCTGTGCTCTGGACTCCTCAGTTGCCATCTCCATTTCTGGGCCAGACAGCAAACACTGGCTGGTTTGGAGGAGCCTCTGCTGGTTTGCATCTCGGCCCTGTAAGGAACTCCCACCTCGCAGGCCAAAGCCCATCTGTCCACAGCAGAGGCTGCCAGCTGCTTGCCAATGGCAGCAGGACAGAACACAGAACTCTGACCAAGGGGATTTCAACTCTACAAATTACTTGCTTAATCAAATGGATTGTGTTTGGAAGCACCCCAAGCACCTACACTTCCAGGGCTTTTCTACAGAGACAAGGTGAGCAAGCTGCAAGAAAAATTCAAACCAAATCCACCCAGAAAGCACAGGTTTCAATCTGAGGCCCAGCAGCTGTTTTTCCCATTTGATTTTCACAAACGCTAGGGTATTTCTAAAAAGGTGACCAAATGCAGCCATTCAGGAGGTCTACTTATTAAAACCTTCTCAGCCATCCCCATGCACCCCTGATACCACAAAAACCAGCATCACTGCCAGATTCTGTAGCTCTGAACACCCTGCTCTGTCCCTTGAGCCTGTGCATTTGTTCACAACAGGGATGTGAACACACACACACAACCCATGTGGCTGGGATTTGTAAGGAGCACACCACTGCCTGGATCTTCACAATCGGGTTGCTCACCACAGAGATGCTGAAATCACAGCACAAACTGCGCTTGCAGCAGGAGAGACGTTTAAGATCTGTTTGTGTGCATTTCAATTTCCACCCATATCCAGGTTCTCCAGGGTTTCCAGCCTGAGGTGTGTCAGAGAAAAGCCAATGCTGGATGAGAAGCACAGCTCCAAACTTTGCCAAGAGACCGTTCTGAACATGCCTGCTGACAGGCCTGTTTTATGAGACCTGGCTGTAGGACTGGCACAGCACTCTGCTTTGGGAAAACTGCCTGACATGAGACTTGCTTGTGCAAGATGCAATTCACAGTCTCTGAAACAGAGGGATTAAAATTCTTCCCCTCTCCCCCCTTGCTACATTTCATTATGTAAGAAACAACCAAAACATGACCTTCAGCATTTTCCGTCTGTCAGAAACTCGGTACAGACTCTGAAGTGTGACCCAGCGTTATTAACCACTAATGTTGTTGATCTTCCTCAAATGTCGTTTTGCTTTACTGTATAATCAAACCATGGTGCAGCCAGACCATTTCTTGCTGAAGAATTAGTTCCCAAATGCTTTATTTTGGGTTGAACTAAAAGTTTAAGAGAAAGTGCTTCTTCATAACAATCTCACCTTATCCTCCCTGGTGTTCAGTAATGCAGCCACTGAGCTGGCCACAAAGGAGTGACAGAAGCCAAGGGCTGAGCTCTGTCCTGACAAAAAGTCCATCATCCACAGCCTCACCACTCACAGTCCAAAAATCAGTGTTCTGCAGAACACCACCCAGCCAATGGTGCAATTAGATTTTGGTTGGTTGGTTTTTTTCCCCCTCCTCAACGTTTCTCCTTTGGTCCAACCCTCCAGAACCCATGATCTGAAGCAAGTGTCACAACCTGAAAATGCCCCTGCCTTCATCCCCAAATCAGTCTCAGTAAGGGAGTCTCCCAGGCACCCATAGCCTATCAACCTCCCAGCTGAGGGAAGCTTTAGCCTCAGACCTGTGTCTTGCAGGTGCAATTTTACTTGCTGGGATGAGAAAATGAAGCCTATCCCCTGAGACAGGTACTGGGGTAGCTTCCTCCAGCTCCTGTGGGTGCCAGTAACAGAGCTGCAGCAGCCCAGGCACGTGCCCAGGCAGAAGAAGTACCAAGCACCCCTGAGAGCACACACCCAAGCTGCTGCAGCTCACAGCTCCTTCCACCCCCCGGAGCAGCCAGCAGAGCCTTCCCCCTCTGACAGGGCTGGGGACAGGGACACAGCCCAGCCCTGGTGTTCCTGCTCTCCTGGGCTCAGCAGGCCAGCTGCACAGCAATTCCCTACTGCACTTACACCAAGAATGAACAAATCCTTGTGTGTTCCATTTGTGGTATGGAAAGACCAAACTGCAAAAGCTCCCTCAGAGGATTTTTCCATGTCTGCTGAAATGAACAGGAGGATGCACTGGGGGAGCAGGAGAAGGTGGATGAAGAAGACCTTGATCTCAGCTCTTAGCCTTGCATGTGAAAGCCGAACAAAGCATGTTATGGTGATGATGAAAAGAAAGTATTGCAGACTCACCTTGATTGAACCACTCCTCTAATTACCAGAAAAGCAGCAAAAGGAAAACAAAAATTTACAGGATGAAGAAAATACAAAGGAACAGTCACAAAGAGGCAGAATTTCAAATAACAGGTTCAAAACCTGAGTATTACAAGACTACAGAAGTTTCATCAATTAAAAAACCAAACCAAGGTATTTCACGTTCTCCCTTTTGTTACTCCTAAAAAACCCCAATCTTTCTTTGCACAGCTTTTTTTTTTTTTTTTCCTTTTCTTTCTCTTTTTATTAAATGAAAAGGTGCTCACAAAATTGAGGGGACAGAAGGATGACTAGCCCTTTGCAGAGGTGTTTGAAATGCTGTGATCAATGACCATGAAATAAAATAAACATGGAAACACTGCGAGATTAAGTGAACAAGAAAGGAGAGAACAGATCGATTTTGAAGTTCTAGACTGAGAAAATTAAGGCAGATTCAGACCAGTATCCCCATAAATTTAACAGTGAGACAAGGGAGCTTCTCTTTATGATTTTAAAAGCACATTTATGAATGGATTTTAACTTCTATTTTTTAAGCACAACAGGTGTCTGTAGACCCTCTATTCTTTTGATCTATATCCTGGAAGCTGTGAGCTCAGCATTATAACCAGTTGATTTCCCTCTGGAGAACAGCACACTTTCAAAAGAGCACTGCAAAAAGGTGGAAAAACCATTGAAATATATTGTCATTTCCTGCCAAACACACAGAGCCGAACCCAAGCTGCCACTGAGTGCCTGCACGGCTTGCCGCTATCCACAGGCTCATCTCCAGCATCAGATGATTCTGAGACCAATTTGCCCAGAAAGACATGACCTGGTGCTTCAGCTGATGAACAGAAAGTACCCAGGAGCAGAACCCCGGGAGAGGAATCTCCAGGTGGGCCCAGGCAGACACCTGGTGCGGGACACACACCTGGGAGCGCTCCTGTCACCGATACCTGGGGGTGGAGGACGGCTCTCCCTCAGCACAACGCCCTCCTCCACAGGCCACTCAGAGCTTTTATGGCTGAAAGTGTTTCCAGTGACTGTGTTGCTCTCAAGCAAAGCAACAACAAGGACTGCAAGTGGCAGGGCACAGGCTGGAGTCAGCACACATGCAAGGTTTCCAAAGGGTATCACACTGCAGGTTCAGTCACTCCCTGTGAGAACAGGCTGGCCAGGCAGGCAGAATTGCTTCTTTAGTTTCCCCCCCACCACCAGTCTTTAGAAGATTCACATCAATTTTTTATTTTAAACCATCTAAATGTAGTTGATGACAGACTAGTCTGCAAAATCAAGTTCACACTGTGATGACTTCCCTAGCACATATGGAAACACGTAATATTTTAATAACTTGTGCAGGTCAAATCAAAGAGTAATGTGCAGCACACAGTCCACCAAGTTCAAATAACTCCCTATCAGCTCTTTAGGGGCAAAACCCTTCCTTGTACCTGGCTATAAATAATAAGCCAGGATGGGTGTACACATGAATGAGGAGAATGAAGCCTAGACAGAAAATGGAATTAATTATCTCTGAATTAATCTAGAATAGTCATTTCTCTAAGAAAGGAAACAGAGTTCAGTCTAGAATAGTAATTTCTCTAAAACAACAAAGAAAATGGATATAATTTGAGTGTCTCCTTGTAAAGGAAACATTGAAGGGGGGTTACTGAGACTATTAATCCTCTCATAATGAAACTCATTTGCAACACTCATGCCCCAGAGGAGAGAACAGGTCTAAAAGTGACTGACAATTAAAAGCCACAAAATCGCGTTTGCAATTTAAATTACTGAAATAGTGACTGAATTGGGAGGTTTTGGTTGAGTGGGAGGGGAGGCTTTTAGTTTGTTTTCAAGTATGAGTCTGGAGGCATGGAAGATGTACAGGCAGGAGTGCCATGCAGGGGATGGATGGATGGATCCGTGCTGGCTTGGCTTCCCAAGAAGGGCACACATGCCACACAGCCAGGCAAGGGGACTGAGCAGAGATGTGACAGATGCAAGAACACAGCAATGCAGAGGAGAGGCAGAGCACATCCACCTTTTTCCAACAGCAGAATGTCATCTGTCAGCATGCAGCATTCCTGTTTAAAGCCAAACAAAATTACAGCAATCATGGAAAAAAGAGTCCCAAACATCCAATAGAGATGCAACACAGGAGATAAACATGTGCCAGGACACTGCAAACACTCCACAAACTGCACCATCCTAAATGAGCACAAAGAATGTGCTTGCAAGAGCAGGACTGCACAGCAACATTACCCCCAAATCCATTTCTAGTTCTGAGCTTTTTGCAACACATACCTTTAGCTTTCTTTCCACCAAAACAACCAGCATCATCTTTCTTCTTCTTCTGGGAGCCTCCTGTGCCTGTAGTCTGACCAGCATCTAGTTCTTGGTACTTATCAGCTCCAGGGACCTCTTTGTGGACATGATAGGAAAGGTTCCGCATGATGCACACACAATTCTCCACAGACTGTTACAAAGAAATTTATGTTATATGAAGCACTGCACCCTCTTACCTGCAAACCATTGTATTGTGCATAGGAGGGCTTGGGGAAATTGAAATAAGAAGGCTACCTGTCCCAGGAAAACCATGTTGCTCTCAAGGAAGATTTAGTCAAGGCCCTTAATCTAAAGTTCATTCTTCTTCTAAACCACATTTTGTTTTTCCAAAAGCGAAGCGCTTTATAAATAGTATCCATTCAAAATGAAAACTCTCTAATCAAAAATACCACTTGATCTTAACATAAAGAATACAATTCACAAAAAGATCAAACACACTGCAGAAAATGATCATATAAGGATCTTATTTTAATCCAAGTCTCTCTCTCGTTCTTCCAACATTTACAATCTCCAAGGGGCCCATTTTATTAAATTTTCTCTGGGTCAAAACCTAGGCCTTGTGAGGATTTCAATGGAACACACGTTGTCCTGTAGTAATAGCTAATCCACAGCACATCGGGTTCTGACAAGAGCAGTGCTCTGTAGGTTGCAATGGAAACCACCAGGTGGTTACAAAATCCACTTCCAAAATTACCTGATTAAGTAACAGGGCTTTGTAACCCCCTTGTTCAGGCCATCACATGGTGAGACACAGAATAAAATATCGATGCTTTACAAGCCTTCTGGTGTTATAAAGAAATAGCATGCTCTTTTTAAACAGGTTAAAGTTATGATATTCCTCATGCATATAAATACACTTTTAAGTGCCACAGGATGAGATGATGATAAAAACAGATTAATAAAATCTGCACCAAAAAAAAAGAAAAGCCACTGTGAAAGTGCTGCAGGTCTGAAGACATTCCTTAATGTCTAAGCACTTCAGTCTTCAGAGATGGTGCTGAATAAAGTCCTTAAAATGGGAACTGACTCGTTTGCTGCTTTGTGCAAATGGGACTCAATTCTGATTTGGAGACTGCACTTATAAATGCCAATTAAGCAATGCAGAACAATACCAATAATGTCACTGACAATAAAGGACTAGTCTCCTCATCTCTCTCAGCGACCAGCCTTTGCTCCCCTCATCAGCCATAGAAGGAAACACAGCAGCATCCTGCTGACACCCCATCAGCAGTGCCACTGACACCAGACACGAGAGGAGGACAATTACTCTATTTTCTGAGCAAGCATAACCCTCTTCTGATACCAGCAAACAGAAGTTGGATCCCAGTGCAACACTTCAGCACAAATTGATGTAAACATCCACTCTGTTTTAATACTCCAATTCACCTTATTGTCCGTGTCCTTCTTGCCAACCGCAGACTGCAGAGCGTGGAGCAGGGCATCCACCAGGCCGTCGCACTCCCGCAGCCTTCTGCGTGCTTCTGCTCCATCTGAGCTTACGTTCCTGACAGGAGAGAGGTGAAAGAATATTTAGCCCTGTAACCTTCAGTATAATGTTAAAGGTGCATTGATTTATACTACAATTATTAAGAACTCATCCCCTTGGATGATAAATTAGGAGGCCATGTAGACTGACAAACCTACTAAATCTCAGTAAAGTGTGGGCAATGCATGTCTGCAACTTTTTGAGCCTGAACAAAAAGGGGAACACAATCCCAGAGATGCCTACAAACACATTCTCTGCTTTGCTGGTGAGCCCAAGGACTCACCTTAAAGCAGGCTGGAGTCTGCAGAGCAAACAGTATGCAAACCCAAAATTTAATTTCAAAACCAGCAGTTCCAAACTGAAAGATACTTTCACTACCTTAGGAAAACATGCTAAATCACAAGATTGTTCAGCAGTATCAAGGCCACAGAAACTGAAAAAGCTGTGTGCAGCAGATTGATTACAAAGTCTGGGTCAGTCACCTTTAGTAGGGAAAGGACGACAATTTCCATGGCTTTGAATTTCTCAAAACTGCACAAGAGAATGGCACAGGTAGAAGAAGCAAGACAGAGTGGAAGGCTGCTTGGAATTGTTGGAAGTCATGCTTATCAATGACTGCAGAACCTGTCAGAGGGGACCTCTGCACTTGACCTTACTCATCCAGCAAGCACAAACTGATACCCCAGCCTTGCATAAGCATCAATCTGCCATTATCCAAAAAATAAATAAAATTCAAGTCAATTTTCCAAATGCTGCCTTCCCCCCATGCCCCTCTTTTCTTCAGGAGAAAAATGAAGTGACAAAATTAATTCTTAATCATGCTCACTGACCAAACCTGTATGGAAGCTCTTCCCAAAGCTGAAGCACAGTCATTTCAACAACACACACAACCTTTCAACTTTCAGGTCCTTGAATCCCACAAAGCCATGTAAGGTTACCTCTCAAAAGCTCAGGACAGCATCATGACTTTCTGTTATCAGAATCCTGCAGTCAGCTTTTGCTTTTAACCAGAGGGACTGCCAATCTCCAAGTAATTAACAAATCAATCATGGTCCCTTATGTGTTCTGGTCATCTGGGCAGGCTGCTATATTAATTGGATAGCTAAGAAAATACACACTTTCTCCAAGAAGATTTTCTCTCAAAATCTGAAGGCACTTAATTGCGAGCTGGTTGCTGTAACAGCACATTAACTTTCAATTAAGAACACAAATGAAATGCACAGATAAACAAATTCTTTTCTCAAATCCTAACACAGCTTCACCTCTAGCAATGGATGATAGAAGGCAGGTAAAGTGGGTATTAAAATGATTCCACAGGATAGATGGAAGAGAATTCTACATGCTGTTTTCCCATCTCCAGTTGTACTAATCCTTTTGTATCAAAAACACAAATGTGAATTTTAATGCTACGTCTTTATGAAACTGAAATTAGAATTCAAATTCTCTGAGACACCTTTCAGGAGTTATAACAATAAATGATAGCAGCTCCACCTTCAAGCACATCTATTAATGTGGAACACTACTTGTTAAGCTTCAGGGTGACAGAAATGCACTATAAATGGTCTTATCTGGAGCTGTGTATCACATTTTTTATTCCCTCATTAAGTCTCACAGTGTTAGAATTCTCATGCAGCACTGCCAGACTGAAGGCAGAACAGCTCAACCTTCTCACCTTCCTTGCCCTATGGCCCATTCAGAAGAGATTTTGCTCTGGTTCATTTGTGCTATCACACTTGCACCACGTTTGTTTTACACTTTGGTTATGAACAGCATCACAGTATTGTGTATCCTGCTTTCTTACTTCTTGATCTGTACTGGGGCTAATATCAAGGTAGACTCTGATAACATTATGATTGAAAAACATAATACTGTATCAGTAAGAGTGTGGCTTGCTGATATCCCTGTCTCTTCAGCTACAGAAAAATTTACTGGAAATTAATGCCTCGAGGAAAAAAATTCCCACATGTATCACACATAAATAAGCATGAAAACTCTGCAGGATCAAGTTAACAGATAATTAATGCTATGACTAAGTTATCCAGACATCAAACTTTGCAGTTTTAATGTTTTAACTAGCACATCACAAAATGTATCCTTACAAATATCTCATGCAGAAACATCTGCTCTATAAATACACAACCCAGGATTTTGTTAGTCCTCCCTCCTTGGATAATGATCTTCCTGCAGCCCTTGGGATTTATCTGCCATGAAAGAACAAACCCCAGTTCCTTGTCTGTAACTGTACCCCAGCCTATGGGAGAGCTCAGCTCCCACTCTTGTCCCAGCAGCCCAGGCAGATCTCAGACAGACAAAGCACAGAGAGATCAGCACCTGCATCATGAGATTGCTCTTCTGCTGCTCCAACACTGCAAAAGGCAGTGAAGATCTCCCAAACCCCATGGAAATATTTGCATTTCAGACCCATGCCAGACATCTCTAAGCTCTAAACTAAGGTGGGCCCTATGAAAACAATGACAGTATGCTTTGACTAAGTTCTCATCTGACAATCCCATGAGAAGTGCTGCCAGGTTTGGTTTCCATGATCCAAAGACGCCTTCACAAGTCCATGCAACCCAGGAAAATGCCAGGCTGCATTTCTGCCATGGCCTTAAGACTCTACCATCCACCTCCTTGAAAAGCATCACCCAGTAGTCATTAGTCAAATTCATCCTGGGTCTTCAGGAGGGGCTGGAGCATGAAAACAAAAGGGATGACATGGACAGAAGAGCTACTGCTGGCACTGTTCATGAAAAAGGACAGGTACTGCCATGGAATAATCAACCTGACAGCACACTCCACTGCCAGGAGTCAGGAAAAATCTCTTCCCATTTCACATCTGCACTGGGATCGTTCTGCATCTTGTATCTGTTAAACGTGACGGAATGAAAGATGTAACCAAACCATTGTCCAAAGGAAGCCTTCAAAGCAAGGTTTCTGAACACCTTTCTTCCAAGAGTGATGGAAATCAACAAACATGACTGATTCCAGCAGTCAACAGAGGACTTGCAGTCCCTTTACACAGGGCAACGCTCCACAGAAGGAATGCAGAGCCTCACCCAGGCCAGAAACTCATGCAATGGAGATATGTAACATATGGCATGCAGACTTGGAGAAAGTAGAGAGCTTTGCTTTTCATTTAACTTTTCTACACATTAGACAAGTAGTGCTATGCACCAGAAGTAATTCTTCAGGGGATGGAGTGTTTCACACAAGACACCAAAGAGAAAGGCAGCTGAGACCCCAGCTGAGGTGCTGCTAACTCTGTTACTGAGGAGACAGGCTGCCATGCAAGACCTGGAATGGCCAGAAGATATTACAATTAAACAAATGATCTCACTGACTTGCTTGTGGGGCAAATTAGTATCAAGAACCTCTGTAGATATAAGTCAAAGCTACTTATTGAAGTTTGAACAATTCTGCAGGGCTTTTGAGGCACTGATGACAGGCAACTATCCTGTTACAAATAAAGCTGACTGTCTATTGAGAAGGGTGGGAATGGTGAGGGGGAACTACACAAACTATTTTTACACAAACCAGTACAAATAAGACCTGCCATTCATCCCCAGTGTTCTGCACACTTGCCCTGTCTCTTCACCCCCAGGAAGGTCTCTGCTGCTTTCCCTGACTTGCCTGCTTTTCAATACTTTACCAAGAGTCTATTAAATGACAAATGTATTTTAAAAACAGAAGTGTGTTATGTCACAATGCAAAGGGTAACAGGGACCTTCAGTGTGCTTCCTGTAACAGTCTGAAGAACAATTCTAGAAACAAAACACAGAATTACTGCCCATGTGACTCGAGGTACATACAAAGGAAACCAACTGGATGACTGATTTTACAGTAAAGCACAAATCTCGTTCCAGAGATTTTACATCTCCAGCCTTTAGCTAGAAAAAGCAACCTGGATTCTTCCTCAAATTCTTGGAGTCCAGACTGTGGCCACGATTAGTGAAAGAGAATTTGTAGGGATGTTGCAAATATATGCTTTCCCTGGGGAAAAAAAACAAAAACAAACCAAAACAACAGAACAAAGAAGCACTAAGTAAATGTTAAATAAAAGTAAATACCTAGGAGCATAGAAACTCATCAGGCTAGGAATGCAGTCTGTTGCTATTAAAGACTTCAGAGACTGGGGGCGAGTGTGCTGAGAAATGTGTTCATGCCTTAGATCAGGTTATCGTTATCACCAAAGAGTTGTCTTAGTAATATGCAATTCTGAATGCTACATTTACATCTGCAGAACAGAGCTGGCATTCATCACCCCTAGGTGAGGTGAGCTGTTACTACTGCCTGTGCCACACACCAGAATTATCTTCAAGAGAAAAGACTTAAAAGTAATTAAGTACAGGGTACTTAATTTGCACTCTTTCAATGCAATCATGCGGCAGTGCCCCCTCTGTGCTCTCCCTAACAATTTGACAGACAGAGTGGAGATGTGGAGAGCTGCTGGATTGTTTTCTTTTTAATGATGAAGAGAAACTTGAAAAAAAGGCAAAGACACCTTCAGCTCTGAAAATTAAGAAGTATTTCCAGGACTGTTTTGTCTGTCACTTGCCCGGAGAGCACCATCAGATGCTATCCCACAGTGCTGCAGATGAAGCCAAGGCTGGAGTGTTACTGAACACTTCCCCTCCTGCTTCACTTCAGCAGGTGTAAAAAGCACTTTGTTTAGAGATCTAGCTGGGAATGAAGACAACAGCTTGGAGACTTGGTTTTTTATATAAATAGGAAGTTGAACTGGAAATTTTAAAGATGTCCTCCTAGTAACACTTCCACCTTTCCCTGGAAGAATCACAGCTGAGAGCTGAAGCTGAGACAGTGGAGAGCTCTTTCCACCCCCTTGCCAGACTCTGACCAGCACCATCACTGAGGCTTTGCTGTCCAGACACTGAGTTTTGCATACTTCAGGTCATAAAAGACAGCTTCTCACAAGTCTAGCTTAAAATATATTAGCTGTTCTGTCCACCTACTCTGGCAGGCAGAACCCTTGCTATACAAGCACCCTTCCACACCCACAC